TTGTTCAGCTATCCTGTTCAACTGCAAGCAAATGGGTTAGATCAAAAAGGGAGGAAGAGGTCCCTTTGGACCTTAAAAAAAACTATAGGCAAAAGCCACATGGTACAGGGGCTGTAGTAAGGAGGTTGAGTGGGTAAGGTTGAGGGGACAAGCTGGCTAGATTCAGCCCAGCGTGTTGTTGGTCAGTTTCTGGCAAAAAGGTCTCCGATCACTAAACTTTCAGATGCCATGACAAGATGTAACCGAAAAACCTTTGGTGTAAATAACAGTTCTTTCTATTGTTCTTAAGCAGGCAGTTGTCTAATCAAAGCCTAAGTCAATGGTTGCAACACTCTGATGCACTCAGGTCATCTGATGTTGCAATGGATATTCCAGTCTAGGGCCAAGCAAGTGATTCTCTTAGAAGAGAATGCAGAGTTACACTATAGTAACATCTAACAAAGTTAGCCAATGGTATTTACAGGGATGTAGTAATCAGAGGGATATTCAAGGCCTTTAGGATATAGGCCCAACTAATCCACAGCCCACTGTATATACAAGACTTTAGAGAACACACACAAAATGAATAAATTCAGCTCTTTGGTTTCAATTAATATTTTTTATTCCATTATGAAAATACTATATTCTCTGTAACTGAGTTCAAGCCAAAAATTGTGCATACACGCAGAGAAAAAACAACGTTGGAATCATCACATACGTGCAATCTTAGAATCTACTTTAAAACCAGTGGACATAAAAATCAAATAATTACAAAGTAAACAAGAAAAGGCATACACCATTCTTGGGAAGTTCCACATACCTCTAGGTAGTGATATTTTAAACAAGTAGGCAGAATTTTTTAAATTACTAACAAATAAAACGCCACAAAAGAAGAGACTCTCATTTCAAACAAATTATTCTACCAAAGAACAACAATAAATTATTTCAAATATAATTACTGCCTTTAAAATTAAACAGTTATGTTTTAAGAAAAACATGGGCTGTGTTAGCCAAAGTTAAGGACATGTAAATTCTATTAATTTCAGTCGGAGAGTTCAACACATGCTTAGTTTACTGTCACTGGAACCAATGCTGTGCGACAGTGTTTGCTTTTGGTTGGATTGCATCCCATCTTAAAAAAAACCACACGTCCATAGTTTAAAAAACAAAAACAGGTATTTCTTTGTATAAGTTCTTGAGCTCTGATCCTATAGATGCCACCCACCTCCAAGAGTGCACAGGACCCAAATTAAGAGGTATGGTGTGAGGAGGCCTCCACTCACACTAATGCTAGGGTAGAGGTTCTGTGCAGAGCTGGCTTCTACCCAATCCACTGAGCCCTGAGCAGAACTATTTCCTGTTCAGGGCCACTACATGCTGTGTCATGGTTGGAGAAAGGCTGGGGCTAGGTCCACAGAGCTCGTGGAGGCCGTAAGCAAAGGTTTTCCTGACATGTGACTGAAAGTAAAGCAGGGAATAGTTGTTTTCTGTGAAATCAGCTCTGCTTCTCAGGCATGAGGATGCCATTCAGCATTGCAAGTCATTTCCCTAGACTACTGCAGATTAAGCTAACACAAGGATTCCGATATGGGTTCTGTCTTTGTCTTGCATTAAAATTCAGCTTGGTCACTATCCTTCATTGGACATCCAAACATAACACAAATATGTGAACAATAATTTCACATTTAATTAAGTTGGGCATAATAAATACATCATCAAGGTGGAACTCAACAGTAAAATGTGCAAGGCATACCCTTTACCTGCCACAGCATACATGAGCTTCCACACGCTCCTGACACTGTTCCTCTTGTAACTCATGGGGCTTCCTTCTCTGTGCGAACACTATTATTCCTCTTGTGTGAAGGCCTTCTATACACTGCAAAGCAGAAGAATCTTTGCACAAGGAAAATGGCTATTTTCTGCTGTTACATCCACAACAATGCCAGCAGCAAAACCGGGCCATTATCTAAGCAAAGGTAATTATCGGTAATTTCTCTGAGAGAGCGCTATGCGGGCATTTAACTCTCCTACTGAACTCCATGAAACTTAAATACAATTAAGTTTGACTGGATTGCACTTTCAATTCATTTTTTTAATTGCCTAATGTAAATTTATGCTTTTCATTACAGGTGTAGTTATTAATGTTACTTACTGTTCATGTTACTTCAAAAACCCCATCAACCCAGCAAATGACTAAACTTTGCCACACAAAGCAAGATGATCTGTTCTTCAGAATAGGAAGATGTCACTGGTCTCAAATGCATCTCTCTGAAGAAATGATAAGCAAGAGAAATGGAACAAAACTCCAAGTCCAAGCTGTGGGCTAGTTATGCATGAAGGGGGATGGGGCTCATGGTTGCACAATTGTTCTCTGGTGGTGCTAGAATAGCACCAGAATCTGGTGACCTGCAAAAGGGTTTTAGCATCATTATATTCAAAAATGGGCAGTGTCAGGAACAGAAGAGCCAAGAGGAAGGATCATGCCATGTTCCAAGGCATGGGAGAGTATTTACACTGTTGCAAGAGGTTGTACAGCTCTGTGTGTGGCTATGTCTGTGTCTGTCTATTGAGGAGAGGAGACAGGAACATATCTTAGGGATGTAGTAATCCCTTCCTCTTTCTTGCATTAGTACTGTAAAATCTTCCTGTGAATTGGGCTATTAAACTGTCAAAACATCTACAAAATAGGAACACTCTGCATAGTTACAAAATAGTTCATTTCATGTAAAAACATCTAAATGCTGGAAGCAGATCTTGATTTTTTCTGTCCATATTGCTGAATAAGATTATTACATAACCAGTGGTGAATAAGCTCAGCCTCAGTGTCAAGTAAAGATTCCATTATCAGTTGAGGGGAAACCAACATTTTTAACATGTTTGATTAAACATTCATTTTATGGGATCTTAAGACAAGAGGCCAACAAGAGTACATAAGAAATAGCAAGAAAGTACTTGTAAAGTTTGCCTATCAGCATTTACAGGATAGATCACTCTAGAACAAGGCACTTTTAGCATTTCCCCCTATACTGCAAATCAGCAACGGTAAGAGCCATCTGAGTCAGTGACTCACCCATGGCTCCTGTCCCCTGTACTCCCACTATTACTCTGGCAACTTGCTGCTTTCTCCCAGTTTTATGATATGCAATGGTGTCAGTGTTGGATCCCTTTCCGAAAAGAAAGAACACGGTGTGGCAAAATCTTCCTAGCCCGTTAGCTTTCTGAACCTTGTGGGAAGTTTGCACATGCAGCCAAGTCATGAGAACTTAAAGTCTGGATGCTCAGTTATTCTGTCCAGGAAACATTTGACTTCTTGTGAAAAAAAGATTATCTTGCGTCACATCTCAAACAGATTGGCTGTGACTAATGCAAAACAACATTCATGTCTACAATATTGTTCTTCCTTAAGCTGACTGAGAAAGACTTGTTCAAATCATGTCACTGGGATCCTGTAATTGGTGTCACAGTGGTAGGGACACTGCATTATAGTGCCCTTCTGTCACTAATGTCTCATAAACTGCACAATTTTAAATAAAGTATGCATATAAAAGTGTTCAATTAGAACAAAATAAACCTTACCTTACAATATATTTAATGCATAGCTCATTTTTAGTAATAAAAAGAAAGTTAGCAGCAACCAGTAAGACTGAAACTCACAGTGGCAGCACTCAGACAAAAACTAACCCTTGTGCACAGTATAGACTGAACATTAACCTTGGTAATCCTGAAAATGCACTAAGGGAGCATCATCAAATCTTAGGTAAGAAGCTGGAATCAAGCAGTTGAAGAATGAGGACAAAGGTTGACAAGCAACATGCTTCTAAACTAAGGAATGAGGTTTCTGCATAGACTATTTTCTGAAGCTCAGGTCTGATTCATACCATTACTCAAACAATACAGCAGCTGCTGAAAACCTACTTCCATGTGATCAGGATCCACAGTGCAGTATTAACACATGCAAAGACCCTGTGCAGAAATAGTACTGGCAAGGGAGGCAACCATGTGATCTATGTGATCAAAATAACTGAGCCTTGTTTATGTTACTGCTGCAATGTGAAGGCAAACCATGTGGAAGCTATTTTTGTTGGTTTCTACATTTAGTGAATGGACGAACAGGACCTTTATTGCCACCTCAGTAGTGTTGACAATCTATAATGATAAACCTGTTTTAGCTGTATTATATATCAGTCAACATACTATGTGGATGCCTGGTTTTACTTATCTCTAAACACTTTGTAATAGAACAAGAGAAGTATGTGAATGTACAGCTTTTACACTTCATGTATGATTCAGTATTTCAAAAAATTCAGTATTTCTGAGAATACTGTTTTTATGGCTAAGAAAATTAACGTATGAAGCTGAAATTTTGCTATGGTGAGATGCAAATTAGCACAGCATTCAAAGTACAAATTTATAATATTCAAACATTAGGAAATCCAGAACTTCAGACTAATGAAGTAATTATGTAAGGCAGTTGACTATTCAACTGGTGTATACATTCACTATTTTTTTTTTAAAAAAAGAACAAACCAAGATACTATCCAGTACAACTGAGTGAAATAAAGGCACAAATCAGGTGCTTTGGTCAGTGTGGAAAACCAAACTACCAGGACATTTATAGTAAGGTGAACAATAGCTCTGTAAAAAGGTACAATATTAAGTAGGTTTGATTTTGATTTGAAGACATACATGAATCACGTTGCCTATTGTATATGTATGGAACATTACACATTCTGTGTATCATTCTAGTTCTTCCCAGTTATCAGTCAGATTACCTTTGCTCTGTCGCCGAATGCTAACCAATCGTCCTGCAGATTTGATACTCCACTTTGAACTATTAGCTGAGCTTGCCAGGTTTGTATATTTTGTGGAGCCTTTGGTTTCATCTTCCCAGCCTGACCAAGATGAATAGTCACTTAAAGTATTTCCCGTATCACTGAGGTGGCAGGAATCACTGGCAGGAATCTGTGGAGGCTCCCATCCTTCAATTTCATCTGGTTTCCTTGACTGGATGTTCTGTTTGATCACCAAATTGTCCCAAAATCCAGGTTTCTTTTCGGACTTCATGTCCTCTTTTAATTTTAAACTTGTTCTAGAGAACAATTAAAAATGCTGTTATCTGAACGCCTGTTTCAACAGAAATGTTTAAGAATATTTGGTCAAGACAATGTCACATCTTATTACTATAAATTACCCCTATGAATCATCACTGGGAAATAAAAGATGGGGCCAGTTTTTGTGTGTGCATATCTTAGTTGACCATTGTTTCTTCAGCGTTTGGTTATGAATTGTTACTAGAGAGACAGAGTAAGAACAGGTAAGATCCATCCTGGGTAATTCGCAATGGACCCTCTTCTACTAGGATTGAGTAGTTTATTTTGTTGTTGAAATGTGCCTTAGATTCCTCATGTCTGCCACAAGGATGCTGAGCAATTATAAAGTCACTGAAAAACCTCATGAGGGCCCAATCCTAATCAGGTCTACAGTGTGGTGCTCTTGTTCTCCTTCACACCTTTTCAAGTGCTGAAACAGCTATTGGGGGGCACCTATTTTGCCATTTGATAGGGCATGAGGGGGAGGATGGATAACAGTGCCTCAGCCTTCACAACATTTTTAAATTACTTCAAATGATAGTGCCATCCTCATGGAAAGCATGAGGATGCCGTTATGTCTAGTTTGGCCCTTACAGATGTGGGAGAGGCAGAATGCAACATTATGTGCAGGAAGATGTGGTGGTGGCAAGGCAATAAACCAAGTAAGAAGTACAAACCAAGTTAGGGCAAGAGGTTCGTAACATCTGTCTCTCATTGTAGTTCCTCTCTCAGCCAACAATATCCTGATAATTATATCAGTGCACCATAGAAAATCTTCGCAGGAGGGAGTAACTCCTGGCATACACCACTGAGACATTCCTGGATGAAAAGGCCAGGGCAGATCTCTCCCTGCAGAGGTCTACAGTATACCAACAGCTGGCCCCCAAAGACCTATGAAATTCTGAGATGACTAATAGTTGTCACAATCACTCTTTCATGTTCACAATCTCTATATATAATAATTGTGTTTTCGGGTGGCACTTTGAAGCTCTCCCATTGGCTGTGCAATGCACTCCCTCAGCCATTGGCCCATCAGCCGCCACTCAAGAGTACTCGCGTGCCATTGGCCGGGTGCTGGGTCTGCTCCTCTTCCCCACCCACTCCCCTTTCAGCCACTGTGACCTGTCATAATTACTTGAAAATGGCTTTCTCTCTTGATCAGGGCCGGCTCCAGCTTATTTTGCACCCTAGGCGAGGATCCCTTCTGCCCCCCCCCCATGCTCTGGGTTCAGCAAAAGAGCTTCCCCGAGGGAGGGCCTTCACCGCCACCGGTCACACCTCTCTTTGCAGTGACTCATGACTCAAGTCAAATGCATTTCCATGTTGCCTCAGTTGCCAGTACGGCACCCTTTTGGGGATGTAGACAGCTTTAACTTGAAGGGGGGGAACATGGCAAGAGAGTCTCCCCACCTAAATCCTGAGACAGGCTCCTGACCAATGCTTTCTCTAAGCTGTGGAGTCTTGTGCGCAAAAATCCTACTTTGTGAGCGAGGGATCCCTCCAAAAATGTCCCTCCTCACCGCCACAGTGTGAAGCCAGGCCTCCAGGGCCAGGCGTGTGGCCAGGCAGGGAGAAGCGCCGCATGTGGAAAGCGGGCTTGGCGGCAGCCGGGTGGAGGGTGAGTGAAGCCCCGCCACGGCTTGATTTCAAAAGGGAATGCCCCGCAACACAAACACACTTCCCTCCGGCGAGGGTCTCTTTCTGCCACTCTAAACACATAGCCCCGGAGTGCCTTACTGCAGGGCTCGAGGTGAAGTGAAGGATGGACACTGTCCCTCTCACACACACATCCCCCCCCCCAGTATGAGTTGTTGTCTCCTGGGGCTTGGGAGCCAGGGGACCCCGAAGGTGGAGCAAAGCCCAATGTATGTATCAAATGCCCAATACATAAAACATTAAAACTGCATTTTAAAAACATTCAATACAACATAAGTGCTCTCCACAATATCTAACAAGGGAACAGATGACGTCATCAGGATGGTATCCTTAGTGGCCACAGCTCCACGCAGTACCACCATTTTAGCGCTCACGGCGTAAATAAAGGGCTAGGACAGATAGCAATAGTCGTAGACAGATAGTAACAGTCGTGGCGGCTCCTACTCAAACGCCTGGTGGAAGAGCTCCGTCTTGCAGGCCCTGCGGAACTGTGCAAGGTCCCGCAGGGCCTGGATCTCCTCTGGGAGCTCATTCCACCAGGTAGGAGCCGCCACCGAAAAAGCCCTAGCCCTAGTCGCCGCTAGTCTGGCCTCTTTGGGACCTGGAACCACCAGGAGATGTTTAGTCCCGGACCGTAGTGCTCGTTGGGGAACATATGGGGAGAGGCGGTCCCGTAGGTATGTCGGACCCTGGCCATCTAGGGCTTTAAAGGTAAGAACCAGCACTTTGAAGCCAATCCGGTATGCTATCGGCAGCCAGTGCAGCGCTTTCAGCACAGGCTGGATGTGTGCCCCCCTAGGAAGGCCCATCAACAGCCTGGCTGCAGCATTCTGCACCAGCTGCAGCTTCCGGATTTGTGACAAAGGCAGGCCCATGTAGACAGCGTTACAATGGTCTAGCCTCGAGGTGACCATCGCATGGATCACTGTGGCTAGGTCATCGCGGTCGAGAAAGGGAACCAACTGCCTAGACTGCCGAAGATGGTAAAAGGCCACCCTGGTAGTGGCTGCTACCTGGGCCTCCATAGATAATGTGGAGTCCAGGAGCACCCCCAAACTCCTAACCTCTGACACTGGCACCAAAGGCGCCCCCTCGAAGGCCGGGAGTGGGAGCCCCAACCCCAAACCACAACGACTCAAACCCAGGACCTCTGTCTTTGCCGGGTTCAGCCTCAGCCGACTCAGTCAGAGCCAACCAGCCACGGCTTGCAACGCCCGGTGCAGATCTTCTGGGCTGGAGTCCGACCGGCCGCCCAACATCAGATAGAGCTGGATGTCATCCGCATATTGATGACACCCAAGCCCAAACCTCCGGGCAATCTGGGCAAGGGGGCGCATGTAGATGTTAAACAACATCGGGGATAATACAGCCCCTTGGGGCACCCCACATTCAAGGGGGTGTCTCTGGGACTGCCGTTCCCCTATCACCACCCTTTGTCTCTGACCTTGTAGGAAAGAGGCAAGCCATTGAAGGGCAAGTCCCTCAATTCCCGCGTCGGCGAGGCGGTGGGTCAGCAACTGGTGGTTGACCGTATCAAATATGTAACGCTCTTCAGGGCATATATGGAAAGAAGTGGTCCCTCAGATATGTGGGTCCCAGGCCGTATAAGGCTTTAAAGGTGATTACCAGCGCCTTGAAGGGAATCCGGAAGTCAACTGGCAACCAATGCAGTTGGCGAAGCACCTGCCAGATATGAGCCCACATAGGCATCGATGTCAGCAGGCGCGCCGACGCATTTTGCACCAGCTGTAGTTTCCGGGTCAGCCTCAAGGGCAAGCCTACATAGAGCGAGTTGCAGTAATCAACCCTGGAAGTGACCATTGCATGGATGACTGTAGCTAAGTCCTGGGGGAGAGATATGGTTTCAGCAGCCTTATCTGCCTAAGATGGAAAAATGCAGATCTGGCAACTGCTGTAACCTGGGCCTCCATAGAAAGAGAGGCATCCAGTGTTACTCCCAGGCTCCTCACTTTCTGGGTCAGCACCAAAGGTGCCCTTTCCAGTGTGGGAAGTCTGGCTAACTGGGTGAAGGGGGCGCATGTAGATGTTAAATAACATTGGCAAGAGGATCGCCCCTTGCGGCACTCCACATTCAAGTGGGTATCGCGAGGAGACCCTCTCACCAAGTGGGTATCGCGAGGAGACCCTCTCACCAAGCGGCACCCTCTGTCTCCGACCATGGAGAAAGGAGGAGAACCATTGCAAGGCAGTCCCCTGAACTCCCACGTCGGCAAGGCGGTGGGTCAACAATTCATAGTCGACCAGGTTGAACACTGCCATTAGATCTGATAGCAATAGCAGCGCCGCCCCACCCCAATCCAGCTGCCTACGGAGGTCATCTGTAAGGACGACCAGAGTCGTGTCTGTCCCATGGCCAGGGCGGAAGCCAGACTGGAAACAATCAAGGACAAAAGCATCCTCCAGGAAAACTTGGAGTTGATCAGCCACTGCTCTCTCAACCACCTAGCTTTAACCTTTCTTCAACCTTTGTCATATGCACAGTTTATTCAATTTCTCACCATAACATACCCTTTAGATTTTGGAGATTTACATCCTGTTAGCAACTGCTGTTCATCATCCTTATTGAATATAGAGGTTACTTCTTTCCAGCCCCGAAAACCTGCTCCTTGAACCTATAAAAATAAATTAATGTATGCATGTAAAATAGATGACTGTGCATTCCAATATACGTAACGATCTTGCATTTCAGCCAATTAAAGCAGGTAACAGTGAGGGGTTACCAGACAACCCATATTATATTTAAACTATTATAGGGAATACTTTGCAATTATAACACATATCCTCCACTGGTGCATCCATTCCACTTTCTGTAATCTACCTTCGTGAAGGAGAATGAAGCAGAATGGAACTTGCTGAGCAGAGCCACATTGTTCCACTCATTCTTAATCAGTTTATAAATGGAAAAACAGGGTTGCACTTACCTGTAACTGTTTTCCAGTGGTCTTCTGTCCAGGCACACATGGGGACTGCCAATGTGCAGGCTAGCTAAACAGAGGAAACTTCTTAGCCTTCCAGCACTTACTATAATACTATGAGTGCTCCCCCTCCCCTTGGCTCCCATTGGATCTTCCTGCCTAAACCAACACATGCCTGAAGAGTGGGAGCACTCCTTCCCTTAGTCCACCCTTCACTGTTGTGGAGCCAACTGTGAACTCTGCAGGAAGAGACCCCCAGTGGGGTAAGGAAGGAGGGATGTGTGCCTGCACAGAAAACCACTACATGAACAAAAGTTACAGGTAGCTGCAACCCTGTTTTCATCTTTGTGGGTTCTGTGCAGTCCCACATGACAGAACAACATGCTTACCTGATCTTTGGCCAAGCAAGGGAATAAATTATGTAAAACTGCTTTCCCCACAGCTACCTAATTCCTGGAATCAATGTCTATTGAGTAAAGCTTCTTAGAGGTGGAGAACATGGATCAATCCGCCGCCTTGCAAACCTCTGAGATGGAGACCTTGCCTGAAACAACTGCTGAAGAAGCCTGTGCTCTGGTGGAATGAGCCTTTCACAGGGAACGGATATGGGATCATGCATTTTTAATAGCCAGCACCACCCAGTGTGAATGGGTCTGGGATGAAGGCACTTGATCCTTATTGGGGCCAGTGAAACATACAAATAAATGTTGATCTTTATGGAAGTCTTTTGTCCATTGCAAATAGAAAAGGACCCTTCTAACATCGTGTATGGAGGCTCCTTTCCATCTCTGTTGATGGGGAAGGGAAACATACAGGTAGAGTGATGTCCTGTGAAAAGGTGGAAGGTTGACACCATCTTGGGGAGGCATGTAAGGCTTGATCTAAGTATAACATTGTCTGCTGAAAACTTATAAAAGGAGGGTCGCACCACAGAGCCTGTAGTTCTCCCACCCTCAAGGCAGATGTTATAGTAACCAGAAAATCTATCATATGAAAGGAATGACAAGTCATGTGAGGCTGTGGGTTCAAAAGGTTTATATAGCAGTGATGACAGAACCAAGGATAAACTCAGCTGGAGTACTGGAGTACAAGTTGGACAAACCTTTTAGACATACTGTTTGAAAACACAGGGGTAATTGCAGACCTCATACAGAATGCTGAAAACAAAGCTAGGTGCACCTTAATAGATGATACCATCAACTCAGAATGCTTCAGGGATAATAGGTAAGATAAGATATCAGCCAGTGTGCAAGATTCTAGTGATATCCCCTGTTCAGATGCCCAGAGGATCAACCTCCTCCACTTACATGACCTGTGAGTAGATGGCTTATGGAATTACATTAAGACTTGAGCTACTCTAGATGGCCAGAACCCTGGAAACCCACCCTTTCGACTGTTAGGTCCAGCAACATGATATCGTGAAATTGGACAGGACCTAACGGAAGGAGCCCTCTATCTCTAGGAGTGGGATATGGGTGCTGTTGGACAGGTCCCAGAGGATTAGGAGCCAGAGTTGGTGGGGCCAGAAAGCTGCTATCAAAATGTATATGGAGTGGTCTGCTGTGAGTCTGGCTACTATGTGGGTCAAAATAGGGATGGTGGGAAAAGAGTAGAACAGAACCCCTCACCACTTGAACTGGAACACATCCCCAGTGGACTCCAGATCTGTAGCTGCCAAGGAACAGAACTGCTGGCATTTCACATCGTAATGGGAAGCAAAGATGGGAACCCCCAGAGGCAGAAAATAGGCAGGATATAGCAGTCTGACAAGTTCCACTCATGGTTCATGGACCTGGATCTTCTGAGAGTGTCTGCAGTGATATCTGAATGGCCAGAAATATGAATTGCCTGGAGGGACACATTTCTCTGAACAGCCCAGTTCCATATGTGACAAGCCTCTGAACACAAGGCCAGGGACCCTGTGCCCCCATTTGTTGAGGCAGAATTTTGCTGTAGTGCTGTCTGTAGCTATCTGTACCAATGTTCCCTCTAAGCTGTGGAGTCTTGTGAGCAAAAATTCTACTTTGTGAGTGACTGGCATTAAAGTTGTGAGCAAGCAATTTGGCTACTGCATGAATTAGTTTGCTCTGGAGCCATCCTTCCTGAGCTAAGACAAAAATGTGTGAGCCAGAGGTGAAAAAACTGTGAGCTAGCTCACACTAACTCAGCTTAGAGGGAATAATGATCTGTACCCACTTTACTCACACTTGACATACAAGGCTATAAAAGTCAAGGCATGCATGATAGCTCTAAATTCTAAAAGACTGATATGCACCCTCAATTCCCCTTCAGATCACCTCCTACTTGCAGAGAAGGTTTAACAATGGGTGCCCCGACCAGATAGGGGAGCATCTGAGATAACACCTATGGTCCCTGCCACACGGGGGGGGGGGGGGC